CACTTTTCCTTTTTAAAATGTCAACATAATTATATGATAAATACTACCTTAATAAGCCCTAGACATTCAGATTTTAATTATAGAAACTTGGGAAACATGAGCTTCTAGCCTCACCTCATTTAACTCTGGCCCCATGGAATTTGCAGGTTATGCCAGAATCCTTCATTACCTGGTTACACACTAGTGGACAATATGACATTTTGCTTGGAAATGATATAGGATAATATGGTGGAAAATAACTGCACTTTTTCTATTGTGCTTCTTCTGTAAGGCTATAAATAAGTTGAATTGTGCTCCCTTGATTTATGTTTATGACTATTATTATGATGATTTATTTTGGGTTGCGTGCTGACAGTGTGCTGAGTGCTATACCAGACTCATAAGAAGAAATGGTTATGCCCCAGAGGCTTACATACCAAGACAAACAATTCAGCCATAAAATACACCAGCTAAGAGATGCTTAATCTCAGCAGTGCAATGCTTCTTGGAGTTTATATGTAGGTGGAGAAAATTTCCTCCAGCTGGAGGAAGAAGGTTAACACTCTCTGAAAGACTTTGAGGACCAGTTTTCAATAGAGATTTCATATAGGCATAAAGAAACATCAAAGTGCATGCTCTTAGCCAGAGCAAAAAGGAAGGTTGATTGAGGGTTCCCCAGCAAACAGTTTCAGGCTTTGAGTTAGATATTGGGGGTATAAGATTGCCCTTCAAGGGCTTCAGTCTGCTAGCCATACACAACTCTGTGATTCCAGGTAGGTTCAATGTGCTACTTTTATATTACAACCACCTTAAATCTGTTCTGAAATAATATCGGTTATGGACATCTAACTATCTAGACCAGCGTTTCAAAATGTATAATTTAAAGAACACTAGTTTTGGAGGTTGTTTTTAGCTATGACAAAATGAAAAAAAAAAAACCTGTGGACAAATAAACTTGAGAAATTCTGGGTTGAACAAAGTCAAACAAGTATCTCTATTGCAAGAATTCTCAGTCATCAATCAGGCCATGAAAATGGTGGATCTCTGAGTCTGACTGCAAAATAATTTTTGGTAGAGCACTTCACAGGACTAGTACTCTGGGAAATACACATTGGGAGACATCGAGGTTTGATAACAAAGGAACAAAAGAATAAATTAAACCCCCAATTTGTTTTAACCATCACGGTCATTGGAGTCTTTTGTTTTTTGATTTGAGAGTTCAAAGGACATAATGTGCCCTGAGCCTCTTTCAGCTGAGCTGAGCAAGGCACAGACATCCCCACATTTCAAGCCTGGTTGGAAAGATAACGAGAGAGTAGCGCGCGAGGCACAATAAAAGAGTCTGCACTTTTGTGGTAGACGGCCTCCAAGATGGTCCCCAGTGATCCGTACCTCTCTGTGTTCTTGTCCTTGGGTTGTCCCCTTCCATAATGAATTGGGCTGACTTTTGGAATATTACGGAAATAAAAGGATAGGATATTGTGGAAATAATAGAGTGTGACCTCCAAGGCTAGGTTGTAAAAGACATTACAGCTTCTACCCTGCTGTTTTGGATCACTTGCTCTGGGGAAGGCAGCTACCATATTGTGAGAATAGTCAGCAGCCCTATAAAGAGACCTACGTGTGAAGAACAGAGTCCTGCCTGCAGCCATCTCAGTGAGTCATCATGGAAGCACCATGTCAAGCTTGCAGATAACTGCCATCTCAGCCAACATCTTGACTACAACCACATGAGACACCCTGCACCAGCTAAACTGCTCCCAAATTCCCGACCCCCAAAAACTGTGTGAGATAATAAATGTTTATTGTTTTAAGCCACCTCAGTTTGGGGGTGACTTGTTACACAGCAATAGATAACTAACACAACAGTCTAGATTTTTCAAGTTTTCAAGTATTCTGTTCTGCTGTTCATCCATGTGTCCTAATTTGGGGGTTCAAAACATTTGATCACAGAAAGAACTGCTTGCCTTGTGCACAGGATTGGAGTCACTGAATCTCAATCAGTACCAGAACCAAAAGAGGACTCAAGAAAAATCTGTATGGAGCTCTTTGAGAATATACCACTACCACCCAGCTCACTAACAATTTCTATTTCCTAGATGGGGCAAGCCAACTTCACGATGAACTGATAAAATCCAAGAAATAACGATCAAGTCCCTTTTGGAAAATTGGCCCACTGACAGGTTATTGAGAGTCAGAAAGTAGCCTCTACCATCAGCAAAAATTGATATTGCCCAAGCTCCACTATGGGGCAAGACAGAAGGCTCAATCTCTTATGCTAACTGAATTGAGGGGGCAGAGGTGAATCCAGCTCTCCCAATGTGCAACATTAGAAAGAGGCAACTGAATAGTGTCCAAGGATGAGGGCAAGATTGGGAATATGAGACACAATACAAACGGTCCAAACAGAGTTGTGCAAGAGGTGAAAGCATGGTAAGGGGGCTTAAAACCAAGATAAGAACACAGCAAGGGGGTCTAGAGGGGCATGCCCTATCATATTAATAGGAGCCCTATAGAAAGGAGCTGTGGAAAGATGCTAAGCAACTTGGGAAAGATGGTGATCCAACCCAGATGCATGAAAACTCCCAGATCATACAGGAGAAGCAGACAGAAAGGAATAAACACATGGGTTGGGCAAGCTTCACAGAGCCACAAAGGAGCAGCATGTGCAAAAAAGGCGATGAGCTGTGTGACAGGGTACACATCAGTGGAAAGCCCAGCATTAGGAGAGGGCCCTGTCTGAGCTATGACCTCAGGGTCATACCCAAAAACACGTGAGAGGGAGAAGAAAGGGGGAGAGGGAAGGGAGGAAGACAGGGAAGGAGGGGAGAGACAGAGAAGTATGTGGACTTTGTTCTCATTAAGGAAGTTTGGGAAACTTTTGCCAGCTATCTAGCTGAGTATGGATTTCTGGGCAAAGAGGTAACCCATAAGAAAATAACCCTGGGCCATTTTGACCACAGGTCCAACTTGGACCATTTGGACTGACTCAAGTGGGTGGGGTATTGTGTGTGTGTCAGTTGCCCTTTAATGGAATGGTAAACTTTTAAGGAATTCTGCACAAATAGGTTGGAATTATTTTCTCCCATTGCACCAAGTCCAGAAATAGTCCATGACCAATGATCCATTACAGCTGCCGGTAGAAATAAATTTACTTGAAACTTTGCAACAGGCTCAATACACTGTCTTGCCCATGGAAACGCACGTAGCGGTAATCAGTATTCCTCTCTGGCCCCAGACCTGGTGGATAATTACAATTAAGCTTCAATGGATTAGCTGCCAGCAGGACAGTAGACAGTGAGTGGTATTTTACATCTCTACTTTTTCGGCAAATTTGGGCATGTGGGTTTATTTCCTTCTCCATGGAAAACAAAAAAGTTATTTCCAATTAATTCAGGAGACCATCAAAATTACTGAAAATTGTACTGTTCCCCCATGGTAGGATGAATGAGGTACAGAGTGACTCTCCTCATTGTGTTAGAAATGCAAGGGTCACTCATATTACTTACAGAGCCCCTAGTTTACATTTTCCAATTAGGAGATAATCAGTGTGCCATTATGAGTAAAAATTGTTGGAATGACCTTTTGGCTGTATATTTTAACCAGCAAATCTTTGGGGAGAGTTTGATTGAAAGCATGACAGGAGAACAAGGCAAGTTATACTGATGATAAATAAGAACAATTATCACACTTATTATCTGATAAATAATTTATTGTGATTTGCCATTAATCCATCTCAAGCCACCTGCTGAATAAAAATAAACCCCAAATACTGACTTCTTCAGCTTTTCCCACATCATGTCAGTAATTCTTGGCTGAAAAGCACAAAGGAAGCATTTACCTGGAATATAAAGAGCTGTCACTGCATACTTGATAATTTTAATCAGTGCAGATAAATTATGCCCCTTATATAATGGCAAATCAGTACTTCACTCTCAGCCTTTAAAAAAAAAAAGTGAGGGGCACCTGGGTGGCTCAGTCAGTTAAGCGTCCGACTTCAGCTCAGGTCATGATCTCAGGTTTGTGAGTTCGAGCCCTGTGTCGGGCTCTGTGCTGACAGCTCAGAGCCTGGAGCCTGCTTTGGATTCTGTGTCTCCTCTCTCTGCCCCTCCCCAACTTGTGCTCTGTCTCTCTATGCTCTCAAAAAATAAATAAATGTATAAAAAAAAAGGTGAGAAGCCATTTTGAGAAGCCATAGCTCAACAAGGAGTCCGTTTTCTTCTTGTATCTCGTCTTCCATTCTTATTAAAAGCCATCAGCCTATGCATTTTCAGTCAATACCTACAGCAATATTCCTAATTGCAGAGTGTACATACTATTATAATAGAATAATTAAATTTTCTACAATTCTCCATAAATCCCGTTGGTAAGGATTGGTTCGATCTATAAAAATGATTCTAAATGTTGGACATTAGGGACAAATGTTGTTTCTACTACCATACTCTACTTGGTAATTCCAACAGGCAGATATGTATTAGTGTTAATCCTGGTACCAGATAAATCATGTAGAACATTTGGACGCTGATCGTATTTCCCTCACGACTTCACCTACTGATGTTTTGAAAAAATTTATATTAATACTACTTTTCCCATCATGTCCTCAAATCTGACCCCACTGGTGTCTCTTACTCAAAAAATGAAGTCTGGATTCTACTTCTTCTCTTTTTTTTTTTTTTTTTTTTGTAATTTGTTACTTTACAAAAATGGATTTTTTTAAGAAAATTAAGTCGATTTCTTATTATTTACCTCTGAGATTAAACATATAGCCATTATAATATTTTTTCCCATGCTTTTTTCTCTTGACATTCTTGGTCACTGCTAATAATAATAATTATATAATTATTACATAATAATATATTATTAAAAATATTATATAATAATAATAGTATTATTTACTCAGTCATCCTATCTATAAGCTTGGACTCATTTCCCAGGATTCCAGGAACATTTTTTAATCAGTAGAACATTGATATTGGACAGAAATCCATGCATCATTATCAGAAATTATAAATTGGTTTTACCTGTTCTGGTCTTCCCTACTGCAAAACTGAGTTATGGACCCAAGGCCAAAAGGTTCACTCCTCTGCCTTCAGGTATCTGAAAGAGATTAAAATATTTTTTTAGGGTCTGTTGAGAATGTGATTATACAAACATTCAAGCAATTTGACACCCTCTGAGCCAGGAAATTCTTCCTCATGGCTACCCTAATCTCTCCAGGTACAACGGAAGCCCATTTAAAATTCGATTTGAGGACGGGGAGACGTATTGAACTCCTTTATTTCACAGACGAGGGAACAGTGGGAAAGTGCACACCACAGTGCTGCATTGTCAGGGCATCCTTAGGACTGACAGGATGGGGAAGGGAATTTTTGAGAGTCATTCCTACCCACAGTCAGAAAGTCTTTTATCTACCATCATGTGATGAGCGAGCATCAACTTTACGAACCCCAACCAGAGAAGTCCTGAAAGACCCACCCCACATGCCTTACAGAGTAAAGCAATGAAACGGAGAATTATGAGTGTACTTCATGGCATTATAATTTTAAATAATGGGCAAATTTTAGATTATATTCAACTTAAGGACAAAGCTACTTTTCTTAATTTCTAATATATCATACACAAGCTAAGAAACCTCCCTCTATCATAGAAATCATAGAAACTGTGTAAAGAAAGCTAGAAGGACCAGGAAGAGAAATGCAGGCAGCTTTCTCTTGTCTGACATGAGAAATAGATTTCACTAATGCAAATCAGGACAACTGAAGGTCTCGTGATAATGCAGCATGCAGTATTTTAAAGTCACATCATGAGAATTCACAAAAGGAAAATTTTTTTCTCTGTCATGTTTCTCTTGTGTGTGCGTGCGTGCGTGTGTGGTATGTGTCTCAGACCACACAAATACCGATAAAAAATAAATGGCACAAGAAAAGGAGTATCGTACTCCCCTCTAACCAAAATTAGTATGAGTTTCTTACAGGTGTGTTCCTCTTTTAAAAAGATAACCCACTTTTGGGGCGCCTGGGTGGCTCAGTCGGTTAAGCGTCCGACTTCAGCTCAGGTCACGATCTCGCTGTCCGTGAGTTCGAGCCCCGCGTCGGGCTCTGGGCTGATGGCTCAGAGCCTGGAGCCTGTTTCCGATTCTGTGTCTCCCTCTCTCTCTGCCCCTCCCCCGTTCATGCTCTGTCTCTCTCTGTCTCCAAAATAAATAAACGTTAAAAAAAAAAAAAAAAAGATAACCCACTTTGAAAACTGATAACCCAGCTCTCCCCAACTCGAAGCTCTCAGGAAAATTAGATAGATGGTATTTGGTTTACAAATGGCTAACAGAATGCTTATGGGCAGATCCTTCTGTTTTAACCAATTCCAGAAATGGCCCTTCTGTGAAGATGCCCGTGATAGAACATTCCAGCACTCCCTACCAAGCAGAACAAAGCTCACATTTCACACAATTCCAGATATCTTCGGGCCTCCTAAGTTACCACCTGTGGTTTGGATCTAAGCAAACAGAAACCTAAAAGAGGAGACAAATCATCAGTAAGTCTCGTAGGTGCTGATCCACAAATACTAGGAGCCAAGGGAAATAACCAGGAAGGTCTTGAAGTGATGCTGCCAGAAAGGGAATTATGATCTGGTTGGCATCGGGGAACCTGTTGAGATAAATCAAATGACTGAAATGTCAATACTGAGGAATGCAATCTGTGAAGAAAGGACAAAGAGGCGGGGAAAGGAGGGCTTGCGCTATAGATCAAAAAGGGTTGGGATGGATGATAAAGAAAGTAGCAATGCTGAACTTTATGAGTTAAGGTAAAAGAAAGATATGAAATAAAGGAGAATTAGCAGTGGGGGTCCTCTGTGCACTAGTAAATCAGGATGCGCTCACTGATAAATTACTGTAGAGGGAAAAAAAAAACAGATACCCATGTCCCCCTAAATAAATAAAATGTAGCATGCAGTATAAATCTTGGCATAGATGTCTCGCCTCTCCCTGCTGCTGCCCACTTAAATGTTCCAGCGTTCTTCCCTTCCTTTCCCTTTTCCTCCTTCTGACTCCCGAACAAGTGTGGGCACTGAGACCACTGTTTAACTTCTCACCTTTGAATTAATGACGACATTCTTGGTTTCAGTCCTGCAGGTCCCGCGGGCAGACTTTGACCACCCCGGGGTTTAAAGGCACCGTATAAATAAGGCAAACATAAGTAAAACGCTAGATGACAAGATCACAAAACTCTGCTACTCTAGATTTCAATTACGGAGACATTTCTTAAGGGATAATAAAAAGAGCAACATGTAGGTCATCCGGGAATTTTTAGAGTCGCGTTGCTATTAGTCGCTTGTTTCATAAAGTGGAAAGGGCAGCTAGAGGTGAGGCAATTTGGGCCTGCTCACAACAAAGAAGGAAGAAACAATCAGGAATCTTGAGGTGAAGGGCACTTGGGAGCATGACCTGATTCCATTTGCAATGCGGAGAGGAGCCTTATTTGTGCAACTCCTCACAGATACACAAAATAGGAAAAAGGTGAAACCATAAGAGAGAATTCTACCCTGAAAGTTAAAACTCACAAGGGAAAAATCTGTGAAGCAAAATTACACTGTGAAATGTCATTCTCTAAAGGGCTTAAACAAGAAGTGTGATAAATGTTATTACTCTGCAGCACCATAAGGGTGTTGAGGACTCAATCACTGCTCTGATTTTGCCCAACAAGTGCAAGAAGGCAGTTATAGGAAAACAGACCCTGTTTCAAAGTGCTTTCAGCCTAAGAGCTGCAGGGAGAGAGGCAAAATGGAAAAACCACTAATACAACCATCAAGCTCATAAATAACTTTGGATCATCACTGTCTAGTTGCCCTCTTGGGTTTAAAGGCACTTTGAGGTCAGAATAAGCAAAGAATGAATAAAGTTAAAGGTCAGAAAGGTCCGGGAAAAAAATCCACTCAAGAACCAAAAGAAAGCCAGCCAAAACCAATTCTCCTAAAGATCTCAGCAAAACAGTTGCAAGAAACCCCCTAATGTCTCTTCAAGATCAGGCAAGTGTGTCTGAGCCTGGAGAACAGCTGCACTTCTAATCTGGGATGCAGATAAAAGAGTATCTAAACAGTTAGAAATTAACACCCATGGGGATAGTGCTCAGATATGTGATCACAGGAACTTTACAAAATGTGTGTGCACATGTGTGCATATCACTCTGTGTGTGTGTGTGTGTGTGTGTGTGTGTGTGTGTGTGTGTGTATCACATCATGTCATCACGGACTATAGCTGCAGTGCAAAAGAGACAGATTTTTATGAACTAAAAATATTATTTTAAGTATTTTTCCATACTTCACTTCAAGTTTTCAGTGGGTAGGCATTAAGGCTATGTTATCCAAGTTGGGATCAAGCCTTCCCTGGCTACAGCCACTCTAATGTGGTTTTCCAAGAAGGTCCATAAATTAAGAGAGTGACCCAAAGGCACCATGAAAGAGAAGGGCAGAAAGGGTCAAGAATGCAAAGAAGGAGTTTTGGGGGGCACCCTGGTGGCTCAGTCGTTTGGGTATCTGACTTCGGCTCAGATCATGATCTCAAGGCTCATGGGTTCAAGCCCTGTGTCAGGCTCTGTGCTGATAGCTCAGAGCCTAGAGCCTGCTCTGGATTCTGTGTCTCCCTCTCTCTCTGCCCCTCCCCTGCTTGTGCTTACTCGCTCGCTCTCTCTCTCAAAAATGAATACACGTTAAAAAAAATTTTTTTTAAAGAAGGAGTTTTGGGGGCACCTGGGTGGCTCAGTCGGTTAAGCGGCCGACTTCGGCTCAGGTCATGATCTCGTGGTCCGTGGGTTCGAGCCCCACGTCGGGCTCTGTGCTGACAGCTCAGAGCCTGGAGCCTGTTTCGGATTCTGTGTCTCCCTCTCTCTCTCTGACCCTCCCCCGTTCATGCTCTGTCTCTCTCTGTCTCAAAAATAAATAAATGTTAAAAAAAATTTTTTTTTTAAAGAAGGAGTTTTTTTCCCCAAACTCTCCTCATATATTTGAACAACTAGCTATGAACAAGGCCACCTCCCAGCTTTTTAGTGAATCAGAGCTACCACCAAAAGCAAGATGGAAGACTGAACTCAGCTTTGGGCTTCTCCACAGGGATGCCCAAAGTCACCCTCACAGATGTGCAAAGACTGACAGGGAAAGGTGCGAGTGACATACTAATTTTTTTAAAAAAGAAAGTTATAGAACAATATGTGTAATCTGATCCCATTTCATGTTAAAACACATACATTATACATGTATACATTTCATGAGCATAGAAAAGCTCTAAAACAATACATAAAAATCTTTAATGGTGTTTATTCTTGAGTGAAAGTAAGATTAGAGGAAGGACTTTTATTTTGACTTGATTGATTTCTACATTGTTTCAATTTTTATAATAATTAGGTCTTATTTTTTTAACTTTAAATTTTTTTAATGTTTCTTTATTTTTGACAGAGAGAGAGAGAGAGAGACAGAGCATGAGTGGGGGAGGGGCAGAGAGAGAGGGAGACACAGAATCCGAAGCAGGCTCCAGGCTCCGAGCTGTCAGCACAGAGCCTGAGAAGGGGCTTGAACTCAGAGACCGCGAGATCATGACCTGAGCCAAAGTCGGATGCTCAATCGACTGAGCCACCCATGCGCCCCTATTTTTTTTAACTTTAAAAAACAACTTTAGGGGTGCCTGGATGGCTCAGTCAGTTAAGCAGCTGCCTTCAGCTCAGGTCATGATCTCACAGTGCAGGAGTTCGAGCCCTGCATCGGGCTCTGTGCTGACAGCTCAGAGCCTGGAGCCTGCTTCGGATTCTGTCTCCCTCTCTCTCTGACCCTCCCCTGCTCATGCTCGCTCGCTCTCTCTCTCTCTCTCTCTCTCTCTCTCAGAAATAAATAAAACATTTTATAAATAAATAAATAAATAAATAAATAAATAACAACTTTAATATTCCCAGAGTTCAACCTTGAGGCCTCCTAGCTGCCTTCTATGATGGTTTGTTAAAAATAAAGTAACATTTGTCTATTCAACTTACCAGAGATCTCTTAAGGTCAAGAGTTTACCTTCCCTCTGAAAGACAGAAAGATGGGGCTAATGTTCCAGGTTAAGGAGACAAGACACAGGACGACCACATACAATGCATGTGCCTGGTCTGGATCTGGACCAAAGAAACTTATTTTTTGTTGTCTTGTTATAAAGGTCCTACTAAGAAACTTGACAAAATTTGAATGAAGTCCAGATTTATTAGTACTGTCAATTTAATTTCTTAATTTTGACTAATGTGCTCTGGGTACATAAGAAAATATCCTTATAATACTCACTGAATATGTAAGCATGAAGAGGCATCTATCTTGTCTCCTACTCACCCTCAAGTGGGTCAGAAAAAACCAGATACAGATACACACACAAAGAGAAAGAAAGAGGAAGCAAATGTGGTAAGATGTTAACATTTGGGCAATCTGGGTAGAATATGTACAGGAATCCTTTGTACTATTCTTGCAACTTTTCTTTAAATCTTAAATTATTTCAAAGTAAGGTGTTTTTTCTAAACCCCGAAGGAAGGGAGGGAAGGAGAAAGGAAGGAAAGTTCTTGCTTACAAAGGGCTCTGGTCCTCTCTGTTCTGGTTAGTTGGTTTTATTCATTTACACAGTTTGATCTTATCAGCGGAAGCTGATGTAGCTTCAGAAGGAAAAGTGAGCCTTCACAAATATTTGAGACTAATTTAGCTAATAAACACCTCAACATATTTCACAAGCAAATATTGATAGTGAGTATGATCAACCTGACTTACTAACAGGTCAGAAAATACAGGGAATTTGGACAAAGTCAGAATAAGTCAGTGGTAAGATTGGCAAAAGAAACCAAGTTTCCTAGCAGCTCATTCCATATGATTTTTTAAGCTAGAGTTTTGTGATGTAGCAGCTATTCTACAGTGGAAAATTGCCCCTGGGAAGCTACAAGAGTTCATCAAAGGCGGAGGGTCAGAGTCCTCTGTCTGCTATGGTGAGACACTGGTCATATTGCTATGCACCCCATAAATCACAAATAATAATATCCCGAGGCATTCTCTCCTGTATTAAAAGATAAGAACTCTGTTTTTGTTTCCAGAACCATTGCTCTCTCTCCCTGCTTCACATGGCTCGTGTAATTCAGAAGATAGACTTCATTCAAAGAATGAAAAATAGGTGAGTCTGAATCCCGGTGCCTCTCTCCATCAATTCAGCAAGCTGCAGAACGTTATCTGCCTTGTAAGTAGCTTGGCTCCCTCTAACAAGATGAATTTCTTTTCTAAAACAGGTCTGTACTTAGGGTGTCACCACCAGCAGTGTTAGCACCACTCTGAGAAAGGATGCGTTGCCATAAGAATCCCAAATATGGACCTTATAGAGTGCACGTAGACCTCATCTTTGGAGAAAAAGAAATCCATAGTACTCACAAACAACAAGCCTTAGCAATATATGATAAGGAAGCATTCTCCGGGAATCCTGGCAGACACAGGGAGGCAGGCAGAACTCCAAAGTCATCCACAAACTAGAAATGGCTCCAGGGGCTTTCTGCAGGCAGCATTCACATGGACTAAAACCTTTCTGGTCCAAACATAGTCCATACACCAGCAGCCTCAGCACCACCAAGGATCTTTTTGGAAATGCAGAATCTTGGGCCCCTTCATGGATATGTTGAATCAGTATCTGCATTTTAGCAAGATCTCCAGGAGATTTTGCTGCACATTGGAGCTTGAGAAACACTGGGCTAGAGGAAATTCTGCAACAGAGAGCTCGAGTCTAAGAGAAGCAGAAGGAAAACTATGCACATGCACACACACACACACACACACACACACACACACACACACTGCTCGGAGGCAAATAGGACTACAAAACACCCCTGTTCTAGTCTGAACTACCCACACACCAGCATCCAACACTCCGCATCCCTCCATCCCACCTATATTCATCCCTCCTTCCCACGGGTCACGGATCCATGACCTGTGTTCACTCTAAGTGAAGGATATGCTAAGCAGCCTCATGGACTGTTATCTGAGAAAGATGATCACATGGCTTATATCTTTCACTCTATTAATGTGGATGAATCATATTTATTGATTTGCATATGTTGAACCATCCTTGCATCCCACAGGTGAATCCCACTTGATCATGGCGTCTGATCCTTTTAATGTGCTGTTGATCCAGTTGGCTAGAGTTTTGTTAAGAATTTTTGCAGCGACATTCATCAGGGATATTGGCCTGTCATTTTCTTTTCTTACAGTCTGCACTATTTTTTTAAATATAATTTATTGTCAAGTTAGCTAACGTACAATGTATACAGTGTGCTCCTGGCTTCAGGAGTAGATTCCCATGATTCATCACCTACATACAACACCCAGTGCTCTTCCCAACAAGTGCCCTCCTCACTGCCCATCACCCATTTTCCCCTCCCCCCCCCACGCCCCTTCCATCAACCCTCAGTTTGTTCCCTGTATTTAAGAGTCTCTTATGGTTTGCCTCCCTCTCTGTTGAAACTATTTTTCCCCTTCCCTTCCCCT